GAATATTCTTGTAACAATGACTGACAAAATTGATAAAATTTTGCAAGAATTGGGATTAGATGAATATATCGAAGCCTTCGAAAGTAAGTACAAATTTAACAAAATATGTAATTAATGTTTAACTTCTCTCAGGGCACTTTGTACATAATAAGCTTCTACATACACACACACACACACGCACACGCACACGCACACGCACACACTCTCTCTCTCTCTCTCTTTCTCTCTCTCTCTCTCTTTAATGTCACACTTATCATTTTTTTAGCCCATAAAGTGTAGTAGATATGACGTAATCTTGCCGTTATATTTATTTGTTATTTATTTTCATTTTTTTAGTATACAGCATATTAATATAATTTTTCTTCTTTGTTACATATATATGGAAAATAAAGTTACTGTAGATGTACTTAAATATATGAATGAAAATGATATGAAAAGAATATATGAAAAGAATTAATACCCTTAATTGGGCATAGAGTGATTTTTTTAAATTTTTGGAAAAGCAAATATTGTACATCTAGTACTTTTAATCTTGAAGAAGAAAGTCAAAACAATAACAGTATTAATTCAGAGAAGGTAAAAATGTAAACAATTTGTTGCATTATATTGTATATTTTTAATAAAATGAAAATATTTTATTTAATGTTTTTTAAAATATTTTGGATGTATTATTTCGGATAGGAAATTGATAATATCTGTGTTTCTACAACCGAAAAAGAAATTGCACTTACCAAAGGTGATAATCATTTAAGAGATCAACTGGATGTAGTTTTAATACCATCCATACAAGAAATTTTAAGTAGCAACGTAGTAGGTGAAACAATTGTCGAAAGATATCACAAAAAAAATGAGTTAAATCAGAATAGTAGAAACTCACTATGTGATATAATATCATATTTACAAAACAACAAAATGAGGTAAGTTAATTTTTTATATTAAATACTTATGCAATACTTTATATTAAAATATCTTTTTATTTCTATTCGAAAATTCGAAATTCTTTAACAATTTTTAGAAGAAGTAATAAAATAATAAGATATGTGGCTGAGAAAATCGTACGAGAATTTCCAACTGAATCGCTTCACACATACTATATTTCACCCGTTAAAAAAAAAATTCATCTAAAAACAAACCTATCCCGGCTCGTGGAAAATTAGTAAACCTATGGCGGAATCGTGATTACCGTTTAAAAATATTTGCGTTACAAACATCAGTTGACACTGAAGATGACGGTGTGTTTTTAATTTTTAGTATTTACCATTATTTATTACATAAATAATTATTATTGTTCTAATGTTATTTTAACTAATTTAATTAATTTATGTATTGCATAATAATTGTAAAATTTAAATTTTTGTAATAATTTTATAGAATCAGAAAATGAGAATAATGTGGACGAAACAATCTAACATAGTGTAGAATGGATGAAGAAGCATCAAGCTCCTTGGGAAACTGTAAAAATGCACTGGGACATAACTTATAACATACGTTGCAAAGACATGCAACAATATAAAGATAAAGTTTTAAGTACTTTATTTGAAAAGTGGCACATTTTAAAGCACCCATTAGGACATGAACTTATTGATTTCGATTTTAAAAAAATGAATCTGACACAAATATCATTAAATATTGAAATATGGAATACATTTATGACGGGTGTTCTGGAATGTGTAACAGTAAAGGAAACAGACGATACTGCGATCGATTTGTTTAACAAATACAAAGACACACAAAACAATGATGGTAAGTTCTTTTGTAAGAGTTGTTGTTTTATTGACCGAAAAAGTAAGATTTTCACTAATTTTTTAACAAAAACTACTTTAATAAATTACAGTTCAAAACAAGACAATATCTGTCATTAACTATGACAGTAGGTGTTTCTTATAAAATAGATTTTATTCACAAAAAATTATACCATTTTTCTCTACATTGTAACATAGTGGATTTATTTGGCGGTATTATTTGTTGGGAGTAAAAATCTATAAGAAATACCTATTAAAATTATCTAACAGACATCATTTTTGTGATCTTACGTTTTTTACACATTTATTTATTCATTTTTGATCTTATTATATGTATATTTTTAACAAAAAATTTTGCAAGTTTTGGACAAAAGAAATGTTAAAGGAACGATGTCATGATGGCATTTGTAAATTCTTTCAAAGAGTGCTCTGAAACAAAAATATTTTAAATAATATTCTTAAATTATGAGAATATTTATGCAAAGTAGACTACAGATATAAAAAATTCCTAATTTTTTTAAATGTGTTTAAATTTTTTAACTTTAAAATGTGTGCCTTAAAAAATTGTACTATCATAAAAAAAAACTTGTTTTATTTGTAAGGCAACTATTTTGAAATTATTTCAATTAAAATTATTTCATAATCTCCTTTTCGCACAAACTCATATAAATCAAGAAATTTTTTGTTTTTTTATGTTTTGGAGTACTTGAAAAATAACTACAATATACGTCATTTACATAAATACATTTCTTCTCAAACACTACCCATCAGCTCATTCAAATTTCCATTATTTGTTATACTTTAAATACAAATTTATATTTAACAGTATATATAATAAAAATGAATAAATATAGGTAAATATAAGAAAATAATCTAATCAAATAGCTTTTGTTTAAAAAATATTAAGAACGACTTATTTTTTTCGATTAACAAGGTAGAAATCCCCCTAAATTTTTTGCTAGTACCTCAACTTATATATTTATTTTCAAATTTCTGTATTATAGATACAAGAGTGGCTGCAAGCTTAATGTTGTTGGCTCATTTACTTCCTCCTCGCAAAATGTTAAGACATAATAAACAATGTTATAAACCGTCAATTGTGGATGCCAAAAAGAGTATTATAAAACATTTACAAGTTAGTTCATCATAATATATTTAATACTACAAAAACTGAAAATGTGTATTTGAAGCTTCTAGGTCCGATCGTTGTCTGTTCTTGTTTAATTAAAAGAAAGAAATCACATTTAAAAATTCTTGTATAAAATTAGTGACAAGCGATTTAGATTTCTAACCCATCTTTTCTTATGATTTATGTAACGTTATTTTTTTATACGTCCAAAGTAACTTAACCTTTTAAAAAGGCAAGATTTTTCTCTTTCTCTCTTCCCCTCCCCCTGTCAACCTTCTTCTTTTTTCCGTTTCTCTACATACTTACACAAACACGTGCGTGCACATACACTTAATACTCCGTACTTTTAAGATATAATTTTAATATTGTTTGTTATCTAGAGTTCTGGAGATGTAACAGTACATCGTGAAGCAATGAAGAAAAAAGCCGAACAATTAAATATTACGGTGCAGCCTTACATAATAGTTGTTGGAAAGACGTTGAAAGAGATCCATAACTTTTTTGTTTGTATCGATGAAGTATTATATTCTGTTGATTCTACATTGGAAGCTGTGGAAACGTGCTTCAAGGTTTTTCACGTGCTTCATGTAAATTATTCGATTTTTAGTGATTATTTGTGGCTAATGTTGCAACGAGGTATTTATAATATTAATACTAAGTGGGATTCTGTTTTTTCTAATACTGAGCATATTATCAAATGTTTAAATAGCGCTGGAAGTACATCTGAAACGCAAAAATAATTATATGGTTTTAAAGGCTAAATAAGTTTCTCTTTTTCTTTTTTATAAAGTTTATAATATACTTTAAGAGTTATAAGTTTAGAGGTGTGTAAATCATTTAAATCGAATTGAATCATTACTTGACTTGAATTCATTTCCGAATTAAGGATATCGAATATTTGATAATTCATATTATTATTATCGATTAGATTTCGAATCGATTGATATAGTAAATTATTGCTTCCCGTTCGCCACGTTTGAAAACTATACTTATGTCCGATAAAATAATTTTAATTTGTTACTAATTCGAACTGTGTGTGAGAAGGTTCGAATATATTTTCAGGATTCGATTCGATTTAAACACAAAACTTCGATTCATATATATCAAAATTTTATTATATAATTATTCGTTTATATATTTATTTTAAGTTTATTGCGATCTTTTTAGGGCTAATTAAGTTTATAAAATTTATGTTTATTTTAACAAGTTCTTGAAAATAGTCCTTATTTGTTAATTAAGATTTTCAAACATGTTTGTTTGTATATTTTGTTCTAATTGTTATGTAACAACAGATGATATGGCATTCCACTTAAAATTGCAACATAAATCATTACTACGTACTGAAGTAAAGTGCAATGTTAAACATTGCAACAGGTTTTCATAATGTGTACATTTATAAAGCATTTAAACCTGAAACATTCGAATCTAGAAGATTTAAATTTACGTTTTCCCAAATCTGTAATTTGTGATGGCACAAAAGAAATAAATATGTTACATAATATTGAAAAGCAATCTCTAAATGTGAACAATATGTTATCTTTGTGTGGTTCATTTATAGAAACAACTTCTAAAAATAAACTCTCATACGAAAAATGTAAAACAATTGTTAAACATAGTGCTACTTTACTTATAGCTCAAATGTATGCTAATGGTAACATGACAAGAAAAGTAATTCATGATTTTATTTATAATATCAAAACTTTCTATAATTCGATTTGTTTTGAAATACTAAAAAAGCAATTACCTGAGGGTTTTGAAGTTTTAAAAATGTTACACATAATGGAACACGTTTTTGATGATTTTCAATCCGAACATATGACATTTAAATATTTTCAAGAGAAAAAGTGTCTAATTTTACCGTCTCAAATTGCTATACATACACGTATTCTATCAGGAAATAAGAGAAATGTTAAAAAATTGATCATTCATCATAATAAAATGACTATTATATCTCTAAAAATAGTTCTTAAAAAGTTTCTGGAGCTTCTTAAAGTTTATGACTCAATTATTTTAAATTTGAAAGAAATGACGGATACTTCAGATTTAATATCAATTTGTAATGGTGAAAAACATACAAAGTATGTATGGCAATAAAATAGTTCTTCCATTTATATTATATTTTGACAATGTGGAAATTAACAATCCTCTTGGTACACGTAAAAATATTAACAAATTAGGAGCAGTATATTGTTCTTTACCTTGCATACCTCAAGAGTATAGCAGCTTATTAGAAAATATATTTTTATTTCAATTCCACAGATACGAAGATCATAAAAAGCTTGGTAATCTAAGAATATTTTCTTCTGTAATCGATCATTGATCTTTGTGATAACGGTATTTCTATTGATTTAAATGGAGAAAAAAAACAAATATTCTTTATGTTTTGTAGCTGGCGATAATTTAGCATTAAACTCGATATTAGGGTTTTCAAGAAGTTTTAACAGTTCTCATTCTTGCAGAATTTGTGCAATTTCGAAAACGGAATCTGCAACACAAGTAACTGAAAACTCAAAATTACTAAGAACTATAGAAAATTATGAAATTCAAGTCAAGGAACAAAGTTTTGGTGTCCAAAAGAATTGTATTTTTAATGTTATCCCTCAGTTTCACGTCATTAATAACTGTTCAATTGATCCTATGCACGATTTGTTTGAAGGAATTTGCCGTTATGATGTTGCAAAAATATTAAAAAATTTTATTTATAAAGAAAAGTTTTTTTCTTTGGATATTTTAAATGAACGCATTTAAAATTATGACTGCACTTGCAACAAAAATATTACTTTTCGTATTTAATCGGAATCCATAAAAGGCGAATTAATAATCTTAACTGCATCAGAGATGTCGTTTTTCGTTAACAATCTCCTTTTCTTTATCGGTGATTTAGTTCCAGAAAACAATCAAGTTTGGGATTTGTTTTTAACGTTGCGTAAGATTATTTGTATTGTAATGTTGCATTCTGTAACTGAAGAGAAAATTAACGTATTAAAAGACTTAATAACAAAATAACAATAACAAATTACTTACGTATTTTCAATGTCACTCTTAAAAACAAACATCATCATTTAATACATTATCCCCTAATAATGAAAAAATATGGGCCTTTGAGAAATTTGTCATGTATTAGGTTTGAAGCAAAACACAAACTTGTTAAATCTGATGCAAAGATTATGAATTCCCGTAAAAACAGTTCATTTTCATTAGCTTTAAGAGAACAATTACGTCTGTGTTATCGATTTATGAGTAACAAAGGATTTGAAAACCGAATTGTGTTCAATACTATTCTTTATAAAACTGGTTGTATAGTAAATTATGAATAACTTCAAAACAACTTACCAATTGATATTAGTAATTTTGAATGTGTTAAGTCTGTTCAAGTTAACGGAACGAGTTACAATATAGGAAACATTTTAGTTATAACTAACAGTACGAACGTTTCTTCCATTTTGTATGGAAAAATTATGCATATTGTTATTAATACTACGAAAGATAAAATATTTTTTTTGTATTATAAGTTACGCAATATTAGTTTTTGTAATCATTTAAATGCTATTGAAGTTACAGAATCTCCAAGTTTATGTTTCATACCTCAAAATAGTCTTATTCATTATACAACTTGTGTTATGAAAACGTTAAATAACAAATGTTACGTTTTAGATGATTACTAATTGATTACTAATTGATTAATGATTACAGTAAACAAATATACATGGTTTTTTATATACATAAGTGTGCGTAATTATTAAAAAATGTATAAACATTGAGTAGAAAAAATAATTACAGTAATTAACAAACAATTGCGTAAACTTTTGATTTATTTACAAAAATAGACGAATCGCACGCACAACGCAGTTTAACTGGCTTGTATTTAACATTTTATGTTTAAATGTATAAGGATGTATAAATAAAAAAAAGTTATGTTGTATATTATAGTGTGATCATTGTATTAATCTGAAAAAAAAATATATATATATATATATTCCTAAATTAACCTAATAGCTTCCTCATTTTAGGTAATTAAGTACTGTTATTATGATCTAATTTTTTATTAACAAGAGAAATTTTGAACTAAATATAAGTATTTACAATATCTGTACAAATTATTTATTTCTTGAACCAAAAAAATTATTTGAATCAAGAAATAAATAATTAATTTTTTTACGAATATTGTAAAGATTTATATTTAATTTAACATTTCTCTTGTTGATAAAATATTTGATTAATAACAGTACTTAATTATATATACTTACTTGAAGTGAAGAAGAAATATTTGATTGTAAGAAGACATTATATTGAATGAAATAATTATTACTTTCTACGATTATACACTTGTTACTTGAAATGAGAAAATAATATTCCAATTTGAAGGGATGTTTTTTTTATTCAAGTAATTAACACTTAATGACAATATTTGTATTACTTGAAAGGAGAAGTTATTAATTTTATTAAAACACATTTGCTATCGTACCAAGTAATTATTATTGTACAATCATGTTTTGTTTTTGAAAATAAGGAAGTAATATTTTATTCTAAATAACAGATTCTATTGAATGAAGTAATTGTTATTTCATTTAAGTAACAGTTTTATCGAACCAGATAATTATTATTTTATTACAATATTGTTATTGTTTAAATAGAAATAGTAATGTTTCATTTTAAAAAGATGTTTTCTTGAACTAAATAATTAATATTGTTACGCCCGTGTCTTTGCCCGCGTCGTTCGATGTACCAGCGAGCCGGTCCAGCTGTCAGATGTTTCCCTGACGATGCGTTGTCGTCTGTCAAACGGACGACACATTAGACTTGGAGACGAGCCGTTGACCCGTTCGGACGTGCTGAGCTCTGTTCTGTCTATTCGCTGCGTTGTTTGTTCACAGTCATTAGAATAAAGCGTGTTCCTAGCCTTTTTAATTGGTGTTCCTTCTTATTTCTCCGCGGCCTTCCGGTGCGCGTGCGCGAACGCGAGTGCGGAAGTGCGTACGTTACGCGAGCGAGTGCGTGAACGCGTTATTCACCGCCCCGAGCGTAACAATATATTGCCACAATACTTTTGTCACTTGCAACAAGGAAGTAATACGTCATTTAAAAAAAATATTTTATTGAACCAAGTAATTATTAATTTGTAATTATACATTTATTACTCAAAACTAGGTTGTATGTTTATTATCTGATAAAT